GGCTTCCTGCCCCCCGTTGCCACGAGAGGGTTTGGGTCGGGCCGTGTCTAGGTCGGACCAAAGCTCGAAGCGTTCTCCATCGAGCCACCGCTTGCATCGTCGCCGGACGGCCTGCGCAAGCTGCGCCTTGTGTTTAACCCCTCTTCGGCTAGGGGCCGCTAGTAAGGACTTAGGGAGCGTCAGCAATTCCTGCCAAGCGGCCTCCGTGTTGTGGGCCGCGACGTTGGCGAGTGCGCGGGCAAGGCATTGGGCCCAAGAGGCCCGAGCAGCATGTGGCACGTGGCGAAGGGTCGCCACTGGGGCCACCATGATGTCCGCCAAGGTAGGAAGCCCCGAGTGGAGTTGGGAGCCTAAAGGGCGGTGCGCAACAGCTCGTGCCTGTGGGCGGCATTGGGGGTGGGCCCCGTGGCGCCGCTTGGCCACGAGCAGGCCGCGCACGCTGCATTGGTCAAGGTTGTGGGCTGTAAGGTACGCCCCGGGAACGGCTCCAGACAATGCCCCAGAGGCATGGTCGTTGCGGGCCTTGCGGCCGATGGGGGGGGTGACCGCGCCTTGCCGGTCGACGTCCGACGCCCCCGCGTGGGATGTGGGCCGCCAGGGCGTGGGTAGCCCAAAGCGAGGCGGAACACTAAGCCCATGGCAGAAAGGCGAGGGGGAGACCGCAGCTACCAAGGGGTACTAGAACACCAGCGGTCAGACTGACATGGGTCGGTCCCCCCCAGCAACTGCCGCCTCCCCCTGCCTGGGAGGCCGGTCGGCCTTGATGTGAAACGTGTTTCACGCAGATGTTGCGTGATAGCCTTCAGGGTAATGCAGCCTTGAGCCTCCACTTGAGCCAACAGAGCTTTTTACATCAGAACCAGAAGTATATAAATTCTTCAGATGTGTACATGTCAACCAAGGCTCTTGAAAATAGTTTCTTCTTAATGTAAATCTTTTGGCAGCCTGTGGAAAGCTCCGTGGAGGCAGCTGCCATGCTCGACATCAAGAATGTGCAGCAAAAAAGGCAGAACTCACAATTCGCAGCAAAAAAGTGTTTTCTGCGAGCGCGCTGTGTATGAAAGCCTTCGCTGTGTCTTCGCTGTGTGAAGCTTTTCTGCACCGTGTAGATGTGGCAGGTATTTCGGAAAGCAGTGTTCGGCATCGCTTCACATGCTGTTGATTTGAAGAAGGGCCGGCCACCCAGCCATGATGTACCCACTGATGTTGTGAAATAGCACAAAAACTTGGGACACCTGCGATTGCAGGTCTTGACAAAAGCATACATTGTCCTTGTGAGAGATCTCGTTGATGCCACTCAAGTTGTCCGCAGCTTTAGGTAGCTCCATGTTGCCTGACCCTGTCTCAGACGAGGAGCGTGATCCTGGCCGACTGGACTGGACAAACAGTTCATTTTACCAGACTGTTCTGGCTGTTTGTGATTTTTGTCCTTTGCTGTTGCTTTGCTGAGTTGCCACAAAAGAAACTCGGCCAGAAACACAGTGGAATTGACTTCAGAACTGCAGCGTAAGAGGCTCCTGGTCCGGTAGCCTTTCACGATTGGGCCTGACCAGGCCCTTTTTCAGACTTTAGAATGAACCGACGAATGCCATGGCAATCCGACGAGCAAACGACATCGACGCAATCCGACGAAGGAGATTGGGATGGTTCTGTTGGTGTTGCGCCTCAGCCTTGAGAAACGCGCGATCATAACGTCGCATTGTGGTTGGCCATGCAGACGATAAGATCTATATCTATTTATGCACATATATATATACATATACACATAGGAATATAACTATATGAGCTTCATACTGTGTATAATATTTTATTTTATTGAATGTGATGGACACCGAATGATTTGAGTGGAAACTCTTGAGCACCTGGTGCTTTCTACAGAAAGGTGGAAGTTTGGCTGCCCTTTGTGGTGCTTCCCTTCCCCTTTCGGAGTATACTCACCTCACCTAGGTGTGCTCAGCCTCAAGTTCCATGGGTCCAAGGAGTTCATCACTCTGAGGAGTCTGCAGTTTCGCACCCGGCCGGGTGCGAATCGTCCCCGGTGCCTCTTGGAGCGCAGGCAGAAGAGCCTTGGAAGCCTGCCATCAGAGCCTTGGCAAACTTGGAACACAGATTGTGACATTTGGAAGATGTTATCAATGGAGGGTGTTCTGCTATGAGAGATGGAACACATGGTGCCAGGTCAGCGTGCAGATTGTCACTTACAATCGCACATGCCTTGTGCTTGAAGCCCTGCAACAAATTGAAGCTCAAGACTATGCCGGTGAAATTGAGGCGCAGGTTAGAAATCAATTGTAATGTAGGATAAGGATTGAAACCCTTTGAGGCAAACCTGTTTTCTCACAGGGTCTCAAAGATCGTGCTGAAGGTGCTTGTTCTGGATGATAGTCCTCACAGCAGCCTGCGAGCAGTTGAGGGCTTCGCAAATACATCTCGCCACCGCGTCGTCTACCGTTCCTTGACATGTTGCTCAGTACCCGTTCTGTTTTTTTTGGAGTGTTGGATTTGTGAGTCAATTTTTTCCAATTCAACAGAAGCCGATGTAAGCTGTGTTCTTCAAGCTCAGCACTCCTTGAGATTTTCTGGAGAAGCGGCTCACTATTGGTGCGAAGAGAAACCTTGCAGTGAGTCTGAGTTTGGCAGATTTAGTTTGCACCTGGGACGACGATGACATCTACACTGAAGACCGGGTGCGGCTCCAGGTAGAGTTTTTGCTGGAGCATCCTCGCTGCAAATGTGCCTCACGTCTGAGCTTTGTGTTTTCTGACTTCAGAAGTCAGCTCAAGGGCTTGTTTGTGTTTACAGCAGCACTATATATCCAACTCTTAGGTTGGAGGCCATCGCTATTAGGTTGGAGGCCATCGCTATTAGGCAATATACGACGTATTCGCTGGTCGCCTCCTGAGGCCATGATGGAACGACGCTACTTCTTCTGGAGCTCGTATGGAGTCCTCCGATCGTGTGCCTCACTTGGCAGCTTCGGGGTTGCTCCTTTCTTGGAAGTGCAAAGAAGCGTTTTAGATGCATACAAAGTGCTGCTGTTTGTAGCGAGGGGTAGTATAGTCCAAGATCCAAGGTGGGTAGAATGAGGAGTGAAGCGATGTAAAGAGCCCGTGCTCCACTTCTAGCAAGGCCGCGACGAGCTTCAGTTATTCCCATTGGAAAACACCCTATGCTTTTGGCGAAGCTGGTTCCAGGCGAGGTGGGGGTCTTCAAGGCATAGCTTCTTGTTACTAGTAGCGTTCTTGTTCCTAGTAGTACGGCCAGGAGGCCCTAGTAGCGTCCGAACGCTCCTAGTAGCGATGCCAGGAGCCCCTAGTAGCTTCTTGTTAATATCATAGATGATTTAGTACTTGCTGAAACGTGTCCATCCTTTCTGGATTTTTTTCTGCGTGTTTGGTTCGTTTGAAGCATGACTGATTGTTGAGGCTCGCAGCTTCGATGCAGGGAACCTCAATGAAGGCCTTGGATTGCTGCGTGGAGCTCAAGGAGTGAAGCATCCTGGAAGGCCTGAAGCATCCACGAGCGATGCTTCTTGTTACTAGTAGTAATGGCCTCCAACCTACTTGAGATGGCCTCCACCTAATACCGTCCTTGCTACTAGAAAGAATGTTTTAAAGGTGAAATCAGCAAAGGATTCTCTTAAATCATTTTACATCCATGAATCAAAGCGGTCTTTCGTTTCTATTTGTAGAACAGTTTTGTTGCAGCTTTCCGGACTGCTTTATGTGAAACTTGCATATTTCTAAGCACGACTTTATGTGCGATTGTCTCACCGGTTTGAACTGCAGGCTGGGAATCCTTTCAATTCCGGCAGAGGACCTGCCATTTGTGTGCCTCTGGTTGCAAGGGCTATTGCCTGCAGCCACAAGGGACAACCTCTGTGTTCTCTCTCACATGGCTTTGCGCAAGACTACCTTTATTTGACAAACCTTGCCACTTGAAGATTAGTTCTCCCTCAATGTTCTTGAGGTATGTAAAGCACGAGGGGTCAATGACTGGAAGCCAAATCCTTCCTCAACCAGCAGAAGATCCTGTCAATGTTCGCCAACAAGGTGTTGTTAGTTTCTACCTATATATATATATACTTGAATATGCAACGGACATGAACACTCATATGACTCATGGGTCATGGGATGTCTTTTTTTGCGTCTTGTTCTTGGTTTCTCTGTATGCGAAGGAGTGGGGCTCGGTGGATGGCCTCTTCTGCCATTGGCGCGTGCTTTTTTGATGGACAGATTTCCGGCATTGCCCGCTTCCAGTTGGTGCGCGAAGGGTCTGGGAACAGTGCGCAAGCTCCTTTGCTGCTTGGCTTGGCACCTGTCTGCTCAAGTTTTTCTTGTGCCCACCAGCCCATCATCCTTTTGCCTCAATAGCATGAGGAACCGAACCAATCTTGAGATTAGTACGCACACAGAATATGCAAGCTCCTGTAATACTTGACAGGTTTCGAGTCTTCATTTGGGGGCTCTTTCGATGCAATGCACCAATGCACCTATTGTTTCAGTCTTAGGTGAGGAAATCAAGCAGGACATTAAGCAACTGCGAGCTTTATCTGATAGAGCACAGGCAGCTCAGATATGATTTGGCCGTGCAAAGCATATGACGAGTGTTCCTGTCCAGCCAAGGTAGCTTCATACATTCGCCAGCTTGGAATGGAGAGTGCACCAAGATTCACTACAGAAGGACGCAAGGGCTACTCGTTGTTGCTCGTGTTTGGCCCCAGGCATTCTGTTCTGTGCAAGCGCAGGACTGCTTGGATGGATTGATGCCATGGAGCAAAAGCTGAGAATGGGATTTGTGGACGAAAAAGAGAGACTGAATTCTGCTTGGAGTTGTGCGTCTGCGATGGCTCAGATTGCAAAGGAATGGATGGGACAGCCCCTTTGTGTGTGCGCATAGGACAGCACACGATGTAGTTACTTTGTCCCTCTGGGACACAAGTTGCGAGTGCAAGTACCCGCCGCGACTGCAGTATGTTTTGCTCAATCCGTTGAACTGGTATGTCAGGGGGTAGAAGTCTTTGGCGCTCATTTGCTGAAGAAAGGCTTCTGTGGGTCGCAGGTGTTGAGCTTAGAATCCAATGATTGTGTGTGCAGCCTTAAGGCTCATTCTTTGAGCACGAACACAACGAAAGCAAGAGAATGTAAAAGACTTATTACCTCTTGTTGCTATGCTCGCGTGAACTATTGGACTCGACTAACCCTCACTTCTGTCAACAACGCTTTTTTGGTTCATCCGTTTTCAAACAAAACCATTTCACGACGCTATTAGGTGGAGGCCATCGCAAGTAGGTGGGAGGCCATCGCTACGAGCAACAAGAAGCTACTAGGAGGAAGGACTCTCATTCTTGTTTGGCTGCATCCAACGGTCCGCGGTGCTTGACTCCAGTGCCGCCACTCGACGTTTTGCAAGGTGGGGATGGCCTGGAAGCCAATGCTCTAGTTGTGGCCGGCGAACGTCGGATCTCTTGCTCCCAGGTGCCACCCTGATTTTCCAAGAAGCCGTACAGTGGTTGGGAATGGGCTTATGTATACAAATTAATAATATAATCCTTTTGTATTTTTTGTATATTGCACGGATATTATCACTTGAAGGGAGCCTATGCAAGCACGAGGGTGATTGCAAACAAGGATATGCCCCCAATCAGTGGACTGCAATCTGATCAGGATGGAATCAGTCGAACCATTCCAAGCTACGTTACCTGAGTTGAAAAGCTCAATTCTGGTCAGCAGGGCCACCGAGATACATTGTCGTGCACAGTTGAGGGCATTTTCACTGTTGCCCGCCAGGTGCTATGCTTGGAGCAGCTGGACATATCGGTGCGGCTGGGCGCTGAAGTCTCACAAATGGTTTTCTTCTGGGTGTTTTGCAAATTGCCAGTGGGACCGAAGGTTTCGCGGCTTATAGGCTGATAGTAAGGAAATGTAAGGCTGATAGTAAGAAGTACCATGATTTTTATAGGTTGGAGGCCATCACTACTAGGGTGGGGCCATTGCTTCTAGATTGGAGGCCATTGCTTCTAGGTTGGAAGCTACTTTGGAGGCTTTTCACAAGGGACATGTATGGCTGCTAGTAAGTTCACGACCTGAAGCCTTTCGAAAGGAGTTGCGATTCCAAGACCAGAGGCCCGAAGGCTTCATTGGGTGTGGCAGGCAAACCTGAAGCTTCAGCTGCCCTTTTTTGCCAACGAGCTGCTGGGAGCTGTTCATTTACATGGACCGCTTGGTCTGGCAACTTGGCAAAAGATGCCAAAAGGGGAATCCGCTTACATCACAGTAGATGCTCTCTTCCTGACACTGTATTTGGGGCGGGGGATGTGGAAAGACATGTACAAGACCAAACTAGCAACTTGAGCACAGCTTTGCGTGTTTTTGCATTCTTTATATATATACATACACAGTATAGTTATATATATATATATACATTACTGTGTATGTTTGCATAATCACTCGCCGGCCCGCAGCTTCCAATCAAAGTGTATGCCCGGGCGGTTAGCACTAGGCGCTGCCGGAGGATCACTCACGACTCTTGCTGTTTCGCTGCTGCAACAGTTGAGCTCTCCCGAGGACCTACTTTTGCAACCTTTGTCCTGCGATTGCTCTGGGGTTGAGATTGTTGGTGAGATTTGGTTCTGGACATTTCTGTTCGGGTTGATTTGTGGGCTAGCAATCTGGCCTGTTTTGGACATTCTCATTTTGGTTCGACTCCGCTGGACCCGTTGGATTGCACTCTCTTTGGCCGCGTATCGCAGCCCTCGTCCTTTGCATCGTGTCTTGCATGATTGAGGGACTGCAAGAGACCATTCGGAGTGCCTTGGCCGAGTTGAAAGAAGCCCGAAGTGAGATCAAGTCCCTCACCTCGAGAGTTCGTGCCTTGGAGATCCAGCTAGAAGGGTTCACTGAGGTTAGCAGCTTGCAGGAAGAACTTAGGGAGGAGACAGCTAAGGTTCTGCCCGTTTCTCGCGGGTATCCAGAGTCCGGCTTAGGATCCAATAGTGCCTCGGCTGGATCAGGGGGAATTGAGATTGCTGCGGAAGGCGGCCAGACTTGGGAGGAGCGTGAGCGCATCTGCAAGGACATCGGGTATTTCTTGCGGAGGTCCCTTGGTGAGGATTATAGAGGATATTCTGGAAGGCAGAAAATCAAGCAGGCTAGTCGCTTTTACGTGATCGTTCGCGACTTTGCTGGTGTTCTCTACGATCCCCCGAAGGTGGTCAGCAGGTTCAGTGAAGTGAAGAGTCTGTGCATCCCTCACGGAGAAGCAGGCACATCGATCTTTGTCGGGTTGCCCTCAAAGCGAGAAGTCCTTTGCACCTTGAAGGCAGGACATTTCGTGATCCCTGAGGTCATCCCTGATGCCTGAGGTGTTAGACGAAGAGATTGCTGCCGTCCCTGAGCATTCTGAGGCGGCAGAGGCAGTGCCGCTCGTCTTCTCTGACGGGCATACGAATCTACACTACGAAGTCGGCAGGCTTGGTCTTGTCGACGGTTTCTCCTTCAGCTCGGTGATAGCCATCGCTGTGCAGGGGGGGGCAACTTCTTGTCGCTGTCCCATTTGAAAGCTGGGCCCGCAAAGTGGCTGATCGAGCCCTTCCTCCGAAGGCACTCAGCAAGCCGCTGCTATGTTCCGTTTTTGCATGCCATCCAGAGGCCAGAGAAGAGCCGCTGGAAGAAGAATTCAGTCAGAGGATTTGGGTTGGTTTTCTCAACAAAGAATTGGAGCCCAGCCTGGAGTTTTCTTTTCCCGCCGAGTTCGAGGCGGACTACCCTTTTGTTTCAGATTCAGGAGAGGCTTTTATCCCTTATGCCGAGAGCTTGGTCGAGGTTTCGGCCGAGCGATATCAGTTCGTCACTGCAGAGAGTGGGGGCGGTGGCGCCGCTTCAGCCAGCAGAGGAGAAAGAGCCGCTGGGGGAGGAGATGCGGGCCGGATTGCGAGGCTGGAAGATGGTATGGCCGAGTTGCAGAAGTCCCTCTCCTCCCTCACTTCCGTGATGAGGGGAAGTTTGAAAGAAATGAAAGACCGTGCTCCTTCAACTCCTGCCCGGGCTCCGGCCCTTCGGACTCCCGAGCGTGTGAGAAGAGTAAATTTTCGAGGCCTCGATGGAGCGGTAGTCGATGCTGCTCTTGGGGCCGGCGTTCCAGAGGCGCATTTGCAAGAGATGGCCGACATCCTCAGCAAGAGTCCCGGCAAGATGGAAGACCTTCCTCGGCGCCCCGCCAAGAACACCGAGGGCGCCCTTTCAGAGACGGAGGAGGAAGAACCGGAGGAGGTGGAAGAGGAATTAGAAGGTGGTTCTCGTCCCGGTTCGTCCTCGGACACTTCAGTAGCAAAAGCGATTGTGAAGTTGACCAAGGTGTGCAGCCATCTAGCTCAGAGCAAGCGGAGGAGGGACCCCCTGGAGCAATTGCTGGACATTGGAGGAGGATCTCTGGAAGGCGAAGGGTCTGGATCTGTCGCCTCGAAGAAGGGAGCCGCTCTTCGGCTCTTGAAGAAGAGACTGGTGGAGAATCCCAGCATGATTTACAAGAGCATCGAAAGCAACATGCTTATGGACTATGGTTCCCAGCCTGTGAAGCCCGGAGAGGGTTCGGGCCACATCACGGCTCGTGGATGGCTAGAGCATCGGTCACGCATCCAGAGTTTTGCTTCTCATGTCAGATGGAGCTGGACCATGGCTGGTGTCTGGGACGCCCTGATTCGGGGCGATGTCGACCAGGCTCGGGCGCGGTGCGCTTTGGCCGTTGCAGCTGCAGACCAGTCAGCAATCGACGGAGGAAGCTGGATTCTGGCTCAAACTATGCTGTTGGAGACGCCGCCTCCCCTGCAGTCCTTTTCCTCTCACACTTCACCTGGGCCCCAAGAAAGTCAGCACACTTCGCTGCTGGAGTCATCGTGGGTAGAGATCTTCTTACACCACGTGAAAGAACAAGACTCCTATCTCGAAGCGAAGAGGAGGCTGAGTGGAAAAGGGGGGCGGCGAGAGGAGAGCGAGAAGGACAGGAGCGACGACAAAGGAGGCAAGAGAGAGAAAGGGGGAAAGCCGAAGGGAACCCCAAAAGGTGGAGCGAAGGCCAAGAGTCAGCCCCACCCAGAAGGAGAGACAGAAAGTTGATTTCTTTTCCTCAGAGGCCACTTCCTGCTCCGGCCTCTCGAGTTCAGAGTTTGCATGCTAGGGAGCGGGAGAGCTTTTCTCGAATTCATGTTCCTGGCACTCGAGCTAGCAAGTATTTGGGACGAAGTTTCTTTAATGCTGGACTCCGTCGACTCCTTGATGGACGATGCAGGCTATCTCATTTTGCCAGATCCTCTATCAGCCTCAAACGAAGGCTGGATGCAGCCAGGACAGAGATCAGTGGAGGTGGTTTTCCTATGCCTATTCCTTTCCCGGAGGCACTCTGGAAGAAGAGAAATGTAGAAACTGCTGGCGAGACCGAATTCAGTTTTTTCAAGAAGAAGGCAGTGAATCTGGTTGTTGTTATTTTGAATTACCTCAGCCTGAATCGCGCCAGCCGCTGTCCGCCTCATCTTGTGGCAGGGGCTCCTTTGTCTCGACTGCAGTGGAACATGGTGAAGCGCCTTGGTGATCTCTTGGACGGATGGATATGTTCAGGGGAGGTTGGTCCAAGAAACATGGGGCGAGCCGCTCCGAAGATAGAGAGCTTGGAAGACGCTATAGCAGCTCTTGAACTCCAAGCCGAAAGCCTTCGAACCGAGTCTGAAGACACCTATAGTAGGTTCTGTGATGAGCCCACCTCTGGAAATGGAAGATGTGCCGATGTGGGGCGCGTGGTTGGGACTTCCAGCCATGCTCCGTACAGCACCTTCAAATCTCTGGAGCCTGACCGGCTACAGTTTGTCGGTTTCCCGCTTTTTGACCCTCTGCCCTATTTGGACGAAGAGTCCGCGGCCGTGTATGCGGAACCTCTGAGGATGAGAAGAGATCCTAGCGAGTGGAAGTTTGCCATCCCCAGAGTCCGGATGCACTGCAAACCGGGCGACAAGATCAGACTCTTTGAGCTTCTGGACAAAAGTGAGCGCCTGTCGTTATTCCCTGCGAGAGAAGTTGATGGCCGATTCGCATCCGGCATGTTTGCAGTGGTGAAATCTGAGGAGCGGGACAGACTTATAATGGACTCCCGACCTGCGAATGTCTTGGAGCGGCCCTTGAAACGCTGGATTCGATCTCTCGGAAGCTGCGAGGCCCTGGGACGACTCTTCCTGCCGCCCGGGACCGAGCTGCGAGCGTTTGGGTCCGACCTGAGAGATTTTTACCACTTGTTTCAAGTCGGAGAGGAACGTGCAAGAAGGAACATTTTGTGTGGTGCCGTTTCCCCCAAAGATGTTTGTCACCTAAAGTGTTTTCGAGAAGAGTTTTTCGCCGAAAGAGATCTTTTTGGAGCTCTATGCACCCTGGCGATGGGGGACGCCCAGGCCGTGTCCTTAGCCCAAACCTGTCACCTCAGCCTGGCGCTCTGTTGCGGGGCCGCCAGTCCCTCGAACCTGCTGACTTTGTCGGGGCCGGTCCCGAGGGAGAGAGAGATGGTTGGGATCATTATTGATGACTTCATCTCCTTAAGCATTCATGAGGTTGGTGCTCCTTTGCCGACCCCGGCCCGTTCGTTGAGAGATCGAATGGAGAGAAAGTATAAAGAGGTTAAGCTGATTTCGCACCCTGACACGAGTTTTTCCGATGAGGTGACCTGCAGCTTTTGGGGTTGCGATCTGGACGGGAAACAAGGGCTGATTCGAGGAACGCTGAAACGGGCTATCCCTCTTGCAAGTCTGGTTTTGGACATAGTTCGCCTGGGTTATTCATCGGTTGACCTTCTGCAGACAATTGGTGGCAGTCTTCTTTCCTTTTACCTGTTTAGGAGGAGGATGCTTTGTTTGATGGACTTGATCTTTCAAGCAACTGTTGGGCGGGAGAAGAATGAGGTGCTGGAAATGAGCGGTGGGTTGAAGAGCGAGCTTTTTTGTTTGGCCTTCCTCCTCCCGTTAGCCTGCACTGATTTGAGAGCCCTGCCCCGTGGACGAGTTTTCGCCTCAGATGCCTCAAACTGGGGAGAAGCTTCGGTGGTTGCGGATCTGCCAGGAGCTATTAGCGAGGAGCTAGTGCGGCACAGCCTTCGTAAAGGCACCTGGAGTCGGCTTCTTCCTGCCGGCTTGGCCTGGGAGCGCTCTCATGGTCTCCTAGAAGTTGATCAAGAGTTGCCCTCTAATGAAATTTGCTATACCATGAATCCCCTTTGGGAAACTTTGGCCAAGTGTTTGAGCTTTCGTATTTTCCACAAGAGAAGGAGCAAGACAGTTAGGCGCATCAATGTTGGTGAACTTCGTTCCTTTCTAGCTGCAGAGAAGAAAGCGGGAATCGACTCGCCTGGCAGTCGGGACCTGTTCGGCCTTGACAGCCAGGTATGCCTCGGAGCTTTGCTGAAGGGAAGATCTGCCTCTCCTGCCTTGAACCAGGAGATGGAGCGGAATCTGAGCGACGTGCTGGGCTTAGGTTTGTACTCTGAGTTCATGTACTTCAGCTCAAAGAGCAATCCGAGCGATGATCCTACAAGGGGAGTCCCTCTTCGCAAAGCATGTTGGAACTTCCCAAGTTGGTGGGAGCCCCTTTCACGCCGAGAGTTCGAGGGTTTTGATGCTTGGCTTCGTAAAGAAGGGTTGGATAGTCACACCCTGTCTGAGCTGCCGGAATTTGATGAGCTTTTGGGCTCCATCGCACAGGGAGAGCCCGATGGTGGCAATAGTGCCGCCTCATGTTGCCTTGGTGATGGTGCCTTGGCTTCAGGTCACCCCCCTACGTCTTTCCAGTTTTCAGAAGGTGGATTTTTTGAGAGGGTCCAGGAGACGATCGAGCAGGAGAGCGATAAACTTTGCGAAAGGTCCCGCGCCTGCTTCTTTGGAAAGTTTGGCCCCCTTGGAGCCAGAGAGAGTTCTGAGGTGTTCAAGATGCTCGAGGAATGGACGAGCTCGGGACAACTGAAGAGGAGCGATCTAGGTGATGAGAATGAGCTGATAGACAGACCTGGCTATTTGGATCTTTTCTCTGGCATCAAAGGAGTTGCCAAATGGATGCAGAAGCTGACACCCTTATGGACCGTCACTTTCGAGCTAGAGGACGGTCCAAATCAGAATCTTGATGACGAACGACTTCGCAGCCTTCTGAGCAAATTTGTAGCCTGGGGAGTTTTCGAATGTTGGGGTGCAGCGCCGGTATGTTCCTCTTTTTCTCAGGCCGTTTGGCCTCGTGTTCGCAGCTTGGCATCGCCCTGGGGATTTGAGGAAGGTGTGAGCCCCTCGATGCAAGAGAAGATCTCCAGAGGCAACTCGTGCGCACTTTGGTTGGTTAGTCTAGCCGAATTGAGTTTAGATCTAGATGTCCTTTTTTGGATTGAAAACCCTGACACAAGCTACCTCTTCAAGCTGCCACCTTGGGTTACCCTAGTGGAAGCCCATGAGAGCCTTGGCAGCTGGAGAGTCGACTACTGCCGTTTCAAGGCAAAGTGGAGAAAGAGGACGAGGTTTCTTAGCAACTCGGCCCTTCGAGGACACGACACTTTCTGCCTGGGAGGACATTCACATATTGTTCTTAGGGGCAGAAGCTCTTTCCACAGGAAATCCTGGACCTCTGTTGCCCAAGCTTACCCAGATCTTGTTTCGAAAACAGTTTGTGCCGGCCTTGCATACAGTTGCGGGTTTCTCAAGACTCGCGGTGGTTTTGATCCCAGCTGCTTCGCCTTCACTGGCACCCGGAGGGTGGGAGAAGCGCAGAAGCCGGGACCGCCTACACGGGCGGATCGGAGCCTTGGTTTAGAGAGCGTGCAGCTGACTGAAGCCCGGACCCAAGCTTTGCAGAGTAAGATCTGGCGGTGGTTCAGAGACTGGTGTTTAGAGCGCATCTCGGCAGAAGCTTTTTCCTCAGCAGTGCGGAGCCCCGCACTTCTTTGCACCTTGGTTAAAGAGTTCGGACATTTCTTATTTAGAGAAGGAAAGAGCCTTTATATTTTGCGGCACCTAGTGGTCATAGTCCAGAAGCAGATCATTGGTGCCCGACCGTATATCCACATCTGCTGGGATGTCGTGCAGCGTTGGGAGGAGGTTGAGCCTCCAACACACAGAGTTCCGATCCCCGGCAGCGTAGTTCGAGCCATGGCCAGCATCGCTATTCATTGGCGATGGTGGAGATTTGCCGGTTGCATCTTAGGAGCTTTCTATGGGATTATGCGTCCAGGTGAAATCCTGCGGGCCTATCGGAGCGATCTTATTTTGCCTGCTGACTTGTTGAACGACCCTTCAGGGCCTGCCTTCATTCGAATCCGCCAGCCTAAGAGTCGGAGAAGAGGGGGCGGTCGTGTCCAGCATGCAAGCATACATGATGTTGCCATTGTAGGTCTGTTGGATGCACTCTTTGGAAGCCCCCGTCAAGATGAAGCATTGTATCCTATCAGCCCTGGTAGTTTTAGGAGAAGATGGGACAAGATTGTCGAGCACCTTGGAATCCCCCTTGCCCTTAAAGTCACACCTGGTGGGCTCAGAGCAGGAGGTGCGGTGCATGAGTACAGAGCTGGCTGCGACATTCCACGCCTCATGTGGCGTATGAGAGTCCGCCACCAACATACTCTTGAGAGTTATGTTCAAGAGGTGGCCGCAGACAGTTTCACGGCCAAGCTGAATCCAAATTGTCTCCGCAGGATCACCTTGATGAGTCGGCTTTTTGATTTTCTTCTGGAAGTTGTCGCTGCACGAAGGTCCGACAGACGGCTAGTGCCGCCCGGAGCACTTTGAGGCTTTGCGCGGTTGTCCTTCGCCCACCGGCCTAGCTCCATGTCTGGAAGAGAGGAGG